AATGATAATGATAATTGATAACAATAATGATAATGATAAGATTGATAAGAGATTAGAGATAATGATAATGATAGCAATAATAATGATAATAATGATAATAATTGTAATAAAGTCAATATTGTAATGATATTAACGGTAATGACAATAGTATTAGTTGTCGACATTAAAGAATTTCCCCAAATCCTCCCTCACCCTCCTCCCGGTCTCCACGCCCTCGCTGTCTTCCGGTCAGCTTCAAAGAGCAGATTATCGTGATTATTAATTACATCTTATTTACATCCTCTCGACGCGATTGAAGCATATATCATAGCTCACCTCATGTCGAAAGCTTCGTTCATGTTGCTGGGTTATGTTGGACAGATGGTTAGGTTGGTGGTTTTAGATTTTATAAACTTTCGATTAACATTTATTTATTTTTTGTTATTGTTCTTTCTTTTTTATTAGCGTTTCTGTTTCCTTGCGACCTAATTTGACCCATGTTTCTTTTCTTTGATACTGCCTTGTCTTTGTTCTTCCTCCTCTCACCCTCCCTCTCTCTCTCTTTTTTGTTATTCCTTTCTAGTTTTCTTCTTCGCCCTTCTTCCTCCTCTTCCTCCTCCTCCTCCTCCTAAGTTCCGGGTACAGATTCGATCGGATCTCGTCGGAGCGGGTAATCGGAGCGGAGAGCAAGTACTGGGGTCTCCGCCACCCTTGACAGGCCGTGACGTCAAGTGTCAGCCCGCGATTGCCGCTTGAGTTATTCATGGGCGTGGGGGCGGGGGGGGGCGGGGGGGGGGGAGGGGGGTCGAGCAGTGACCCTTCAGAGGCAGTTCAGCATTTCATCATCTGTTGTGGAATGTTGTTCATGCTGTGCAATATTGCGAGCATTACTGTCCCTCGTAACTCATGTACCTTGACCCTCATGTGGGAGAACAGTGATCGCCGTGTGGGTATGCTATACGTTATGCTATGCTGACAAGTAGCGTTTACATACCTCTCAGTAGCGTGGCTGAGAGGAGGAAATGCGACTGAACATTGTAGATGCATCGGTAGGCCTTGTGTGATATTTAGTTTCGAAAATCTATTAGCTCGAAGAAGGCACAAGAGGATTGTATGGACTTTAAAGCGAACTCAAATCGCTATGGAATATGCAAACCTCGTGGCTTTGGAGACAAACCCAATATCATGCCCCGTACAAGAGATTCACTTACTTTGTGTTGTCTCTTACCCCATTGGCATTTAAATCGGTTCCCGTGTCACCCAGGAAACTAAAAAATATATTTATCACGAAGCCTATCTGAAAGAGAGAGAAAGAGAAAGAAAAGGAGAGTGCGAGACTGTGTGTGAGACTGTACAAGGCTCTTATATCAACGATAATTTCAATAAATTGCGACATGTTATAGTTCTGTACCATGAGAAAAGGGAAGAGACCTTGCTTTGTGAGCTATTCTCCGTATCAGCTGATTTGTGACAGCACTGCTCGTTATTACATGTTCTGCATAATTAATGGTTTACACCGCTGTCCTGCCCAGCATTGCACATTATGGTTATTATTTTAGACTCGTATGTACCCTTAGGGGTGTATGTACCCCGGGTTATTTGATGTTGCTCTACAAAAAAAATTACTTGTTTAATTAAATACTGTACTCCATGTTGAATATGTGAGCTTTACTATTGACACAAGTATGGTACTGATATTAAATATTTTTTGCCGAGTGTATACGTTATAGTAGCACAGCCCTTCAGACATGCATGGTTACAGTTCGACTGCCCTCAAGAATAATGAGCGACCAAACGTGATACATTTGTCAATGTCTTTCTCTCTCTCTCTCTCTCTCTCTTCTCTCTCTCTTCTCTCTCTCTCTCTCTCTCTCTCTCTCTTTCTTTCTTTCTTTGTATTTTTTTTCATTTACTCAGTGCTGTAGTTAATTAATGATCATGTAACAACAACACTACTCATTAAATTGCCAGTCTCTTTTTATTTTTATTTTTCTCATTTACTCAGTGCTTTAGTTTATTAATGATCATATAACACTACTAATTAAATTGCCAGTATAATCAAGCTTATGTATTGGCAAATTGAAGACAAAAGCTCGCAGCGTCCGACAAAGCTGTGACCTATATACCGAGGCTGATGAATCTTTAATCGCGCTGAGTCGTTTAGCGCACGTGGGGGTGACTCACCTTAACCGCGCCGACGTTTTTAGCATGGCGTCTACCTATTTTTTTTTCTTAATACGGTAAATATTTCTTGCGGTGTGACTAATGGTTCTCTTGTTCTCTTGCTTGGCAGATTATACATTCTTCGATCGAGCCTTCGGAAGCGAGTCCCTTGGTAAGGCGAAGTCTGCTCCTTCTCCGGGGTTTCCGAAGCCAGGAAAGCGGCTTGACGAGTCGAGCACGAGCCGGATCCGCTCGAAGACTCAAGCCGCAGGTCGGAGAGTCGCCAGCGTCCTGCAGAAGATTGGCTTAACGCAGAGCATCGGGGAAGGACAGAGTGTGAGTGACGTTGAAGCCGCGG